ATTTATTGAGAATTTTTTGTTAATTTCTATATTTTTCTAAGAAACAATAACTTTTCTAATCATTAAACTTAGAGTTAGTACTATTTTATATTAAATTAAAAAGTCAATCTTCTCTTTCCTTTTTGTTTCTGCCTTGTTGGTTAACTTATCACCTTAGTGTTGTGGCAGCATTTTCTCTGATCACTTAAATTTAAGAGTTGGAGTCAAGATAGAAATGGAGAGGAGAATCCCAGTAAGGTTCAGGTGGCCCAGGTACCACCTGCCCAATGATATCACAGTATTATCATACAAGAGAGAAAGATGGAATTTAAATATATAGCATCCTGGCTAAAGTAGTCCAGGGAGCAATAACAGTAACACCAAGTGCAACTTAGCTACTGACAAACTGGAAGGTATTGCACTGATACCTTTTCCCACAGCAGAAAATTCTAAAATTATATACAATATTTGTAATTTCCTCCATAGTTGTATGCATTGATTTTCCCTTAGTGGAATTTTTTTAACAACCCTCTGTTCTGGTGAGGGTTGTTAAGATGGGTAGGATACAAGAGAAAGTGATGAAGGGGGCTAAATCTAGTAGAATCGAGGCTCAAAGTCAAAGGACGCTCATCTGTATTCTGGGAAATTGGTAGACACAGGCGGGAAAGAATGAAAGAGAACACAAAGGGGTATTGAAGTGGATCAAAAAGGGAAGAGGCAATACGTACTCACATAGAAGTATGATAAATTCAAGAGATAGTTGAGGAAAGACAGAGAGTAGATCAATATGAGAAAACAAAACAAAAACAACAAAACAAATGTAAGATATCTAAACAGTAAAAGAAGTAAGGAACAGAGAGAAGAAATAAAAATGAGACAAAAAATAACAACAACAAAAAAAAGAACACCACCACCAATAAAAAAATCAAAAGAGGAAAATAACCACAGAATACAAACAAAACCCAGCCAGACAGGAACAAGATAGTGAATCAGATAAGGAAGAGAGAATAAAAATGGTAAAATCCCTCTGGTGTTCACTGTTCTGGGGTAGTGTGAGGACAGAGCCCAGCAGTGTGCTGTGTGTGCCAGCCAAGTTTGCCATGGGATTCGTGCTGGGCACAGTGCTGATCTTGCCTGTGGAAGCAGGGCTGCAGCTGGCCTTTCATGGGTGCAGTGGCCAGGGCCCTTTCGTAAGGACTTACCCGCTTCTATTCTGCATGTCTGTGTGCAGAAGCTCAATGCTAGTTACTGCTGCCCACTGCTGCTACAGACTCTTCCATGCCTCTGGTGTTGCCTGGACCTGCATGTGGACCTGCGTCAGGGCCTGGTCACGCAGGTCACACCTCCGCACCCCTGCCAGGGCCTGGTCACACAGGTCATACCTCCGCACCCCTGCCACGGCCTGCCATTGTCTTGCTGATTGTTCTGCCCACTGCAGTGAGTGCCAGTACCTGGGCTGCCTAACCTGGTCTCTCTATTTTGTTTTTTCTTTCACTGTCCATTTTGATTTTGGGTAACAAGGTCATAATGAGCCCACAAAAAGAGTTGAAAACTTTTTCTTTCTTAATTTCCTAAAATAATTCTGAAACCATCTGGATCTGGTATTTTGGGGTTGAGAAATATTTGACTAGAATTTTTAAAATTATTTTATGAATTTCATATATTTTATTGAGGGAAATTTATTAATTTCTGTGTTTTCTAAGAAGCAATATTTTTTCCAATCTTTAAACTTAGAGTTAGTGCTATTTTTATATAAAATTAAAAAGTCAACTATGTCTGTTGCTCTTTCCCATCACAACTTGCTTATATCTTCTCTTTCCTTTCTGTTTCTGCCTTGTTGGTTTACCTATCACCTTAGTGTTGTGGCAGCATTTTCTGTGATCACTTGGATTTCAGGGCTGGAGTCAGGATAAGATGGAGAAGAGAGTCTCGTAAGGAGAAATAAGGAGAAGAAACCACTCTTCTGATCTTCAGGGCAGGTAGTGCTGTTTTGCTGACCACGGAAAGTTCACTTCTGCCTTGTTTTCCATCACTGTAAAGTGGAATAAACAGGATGTGTGCATCACGGGATGCGACGCGGACCCAGGGAATTAGTGAAGAAAAATCTCTTTAAAACACCACATATGAAGCTGTCTGTGCCATTAATTGTTATCATTATATGTACAGGAGAAATGAAGTAACAGACCCAGGTTTAAAGAGCTAGGACCAGGACATTCAGCATGCGGTTAGCACTGGTTCATCCACATGAGGACCCAGGTCCCCTCTCCTTTCCTACTCTCTTGCCTGTGGAATGCCTCCCCTGTCTCTGCAGACAGCTTGAAGATTGCCCAGGGAGCAGGGCAGCTTGAGTGCAGCCATATCAAATATTTCACAGACCTTCTGAAAGTTTTATTTAAACCTCACACAATCAGATTTAACATGAAAGGCAGGACTGGGTTGTAGGGTGGCGTCATGCTTGGCCCATGATATATTGCTCACTTCATAAATACTTAAATGTATGTGATGTCTAAATCCTGAATGAAAAATAGTGTCAAATCCATTGCTCTACTTAATGTAGTTTAACCCAGAAAAGGCACACTGTCACCTGCATTAGTGTTTACATTAAAATTTATGTGCACATGATTGACCTGTGAGTCTATCCGCACTGGTCAGTCGGATGTTCTGAGTCTGTGCTGTCCTTTAGAATACCCATGAGCTACTCTAAAGAATATAAAATAGGACTGAAGAGTCAGTTTCTCTGTCCTGGTAGGCACACTGCCAAGGATGAGTAGCCACAAGGATGACTATTACCTGCAGCCTGGAAAACTGAGTTCTAGAACGTTTTCCCACCCAGGCGATTCTATTCTAGAGTTAGTTTCCACAGTAACTAAAGTGCACTGGCTGCGGTGTGAGGTGCTCAGGGAAGGGACCACCACTTCTTCCTAGGCTGGCTGATGGCCTGCTGTTATGGCTAGCAGGGTTAAAAATAGATTAATCTTTGAAAGAGGTTAAACAAATTCTTGGAATGTTATTTATCCTGGGAACTTGCCTGGAAATTCCACAATTCAGGAGTTCTCAGTTAGTGAAGGCCAATGTGATACTACGTTGCCTAGGTCAGTGTAAAGGTGATGCTTGCTTTTATGTTATTTCTGGACAGAAATCACCTCCAGTGTAGTTCTACCTTCCATCACTTACACACCTGTTGAGGTAAGTCATCGTCTATTTCCTTGTCACTAACAGCTCTAAGACATCTTTTACTCTGGCCACTTTCCTGGAGTATAGCATTGGGCATTTTCATAATTTCTGCTCTGGAAACGACATTTCTCATAAAAGTACATCCCTCTTCAACGCGCTTGCCAGCCTGGCCTGGCATGGACGGCTCACCATGCTGTTCCCGTAGCACACGAATCGGGCATCACATCTTTACATGGTGACCATGTCGGTGATGGAAGGACAGTCTTTCGATGTTCCCAGGAATTCACCCAGGGAAGTGAAGCGGACATGAAACCTGCTTAGGACCAGAGAGCGTGGGCTGAGGATTCCTCCTGTGCATCTCCAGTGGTGGGTTGCAAGAGGACAGCACGACTGCTCACACACTGTCACAGCTCCTGATGGCCTGGGTGGGATTGGGGCGCAGAATCAATCTCCGTAAGGAAAAGGGTCCTGTATTTTTATTTTATTTATTTTCCAAAATGTGTTTTTCTTCTCTTTCTAGAGCTTGCCAGCAGTTTGTTCTCTTCTGTCTACTAAGCCTGTGCAGGCCAGGTGTGGCGGGGGGTTCTGAGCCGAGGACTTTCGCCGAAGTCCTGCTCCTGCCCCAGCTCCCCATCTTGGGCCTCACTGAAGAGGAAGGGCAGAGCCTGCTGCTTGGTGAATGGTTTGTAAATGCTGTTATTTTAACTACTAATCAGCTGAGCTAAGCCGGAGAAGAGCTGGAGGCAGAGGATTAATGGAGAAGAAGACCAGAAACCTCTGTCCATCACCACCAGGTGGAGGAATAAACGGTGCAGACCACAGGGCAAAAGGAATGCTTTCTACAGTTCCTGAGCATCCTGCCATCATGGCCGCACGTAACCCTTCCTCCTCAGAGCACTGCCGGAGTGCGTCCACCCTCCAGCCCCGGCCCTACGCGGTGCCCACGCCCCGGACCCCAGACAACTCTTCCTGTGTCTTCCTACAGCAGCCCCTAGGGCGCCATACTGGACAAGACGAATTTAAGCCAGCCACCTCCCCACTTGAACCCTCTGCTTGCTCAGGATGAAGATGAAAATGCTCAGTGTGGGCTTCCGGAACCTGGAGCATGCCTGACCCCTTTCCCTCAGCCCCTACCCCTGCCAAGGGCTTTGTTCCTCTAATTTCTGCAGTAAGTTGGACTCGCTCCTGCTTCAGGGGCTGTGCATGTGGTGCCTGTCCTCAGGTGCTCTGCTCCTAGCTCCTGCTTGCCCAGTTAGCTCCTGCTCATCCTTCTCATGTCAGATTAGCCACCACTTCCTGTGTGGTTGTCACTTCAGTCATTATGCTGCTCTCCTCCCAGACCAGGTTGTACTGCAGGTGTGTTTATAGGTGAGTACGTGATTAGCACTACTCCAGAAGGTTGTAAGCTTTAGGGACAGTATTTGTCCTTTACTAGCCATTATATTCCCAGTTCCTAACAGTCAACATGGGAATTGACACATGAGAAAATCTTTGTTGACTGAGTAAATAACCAGGCATTTTTGTGCTCTGCCAGCAGAGTAATGTGGTGTCCAAAGGACACGTACAGATTGAAGAGACCTGGTGCAAGTACTGGCTTTGCCGTTTGTTAGTCACATAATCTTGGGCATGCTGATTGACCTCTAACCCTTAGTTTTCCCATCTGTAAAATGGGCACAACCTCTGTCCCATGAGGTTGAGAAGCCAGAGACTATGTGCTGACTGCATCCAATAAGTTCTCCGGGAGCTACAGACATCATTATCGGTATTCAATTTAGAGACTATGGAGTGGAAAGACCTGTGGTGACACCCCAGGGCTCTCAGGAAGAAGGGACAGGCACGCGAAAGGAAACAGATAGTAACATTTTTTATTAAATATTACAGTGGATCAAAAAGTACAAAATATCTCTTGCCTGCTATGTGATTGGGAAACTATTGGCACGTAATACAGTATCAAAAGCAGTAATAAGTACAATTTGGAAAACATACAAAATCGAGTGTTTATAGTTGGCTCAGCATTCTTCTGGTAGTGTTTAAACTAATGCAAAGGTTACTCAATAACCTCTCCATTGGGAAACTCTATAATATCACTGGGCCATGTTGCTATATACATCTAATCACCTTACAGAGCATAGGGGTTACATAGCTGGAATCACCAAAAGTCTACAGTATTTACAGCACAGTAAAGTTTAAAAAAGTATAAACAGCCAAGAGATTATGCTGCCATTCTTCAGACATATTTCAACCGTGGGGAGACAAGCAGAATATCAAATACAACAGCCAACACTGGAGTCTAAGGGCTCAAGGTAACCATTGCAATGGCGTGGCTCTCACCAGGGCGAAATCATTCCCATGTCACTTTAAATTTGGGACAAGAGTAAAACTAGACCAGATGGGACTTGGCTGACCTCCACCAAACATGACTTTGTGGGACAACAAGTGCAGAGATAGCAATGATTCTCTTTGAAGGCACACTACATAAAATATTTTTGTGGGACCACCTCGAAATTTCCATCCGACACATTAACACAGTGAAATACAGTACTTAGAATTCATGCACCAGGTCAGAAAGTTGTAAAGTCCACACTGAGTTTTAACAACCCCTTCTGTATATTCCCTGATAAACAAGTGAACTTAGGAAAGAGATTCTAGCTAGGAACCAAATAAGTCAGTCCTGTGGCAAACATTGAAAGTTCAATTCACTAGGAGAATTCTTAATTCTGAAACTCGGTTGGGCTTTTTCTTCCTTTTTTTTTAAATGTTATGTTGTCAGAAGTTTGACCAGAAGTTGCATGGAATGGTTTTTTAAAAATATTATTTGGAATCTCCAAATCTCCAATAAATTACAGACTTTAGTGCATTCTGAATTGCGACACTGCTCGGAAGCCACACTCAGTAAGTAGACTTAGGACTCCACTGCCAATTAGATTCCAAGCTCCCTCACAGACGGCCAATAACAATGGTCTGCTCGCACAAAGAAAGGCTTGTGCAATCCCATTCGGTAATAAGGCCCCTTGAACTCAAACAACGCAAACAAAGCCCTATTTAAGACTTTCTAAAAAGTAGCTCTCAGCCAATGAAGAATTCAATGGTCTTTTTGAAACATATCCAAGATCTCTGTTTGGAGTTTTAAAACAAACAGCACACTGCTTCTGTTGGGAATGTATCCCCCATCTCGCTTTATTTGTCCTGATGTTTTGCGGAGGCTATGAGCTTCCTCAGACAGAGTGAGTGAGTCTCCTCTCGGGAGACATGAGAAAAACAAAAGCTGGACTATGTTAACATTGTTTGAAAGTGGTGTGATCAAATTCCACCATGACGAAACCAGGCTGAAATCACTGCAGCAGGGAAACAAGCGGCCCGTATGGCAAGCGGGTCGGTGAGCTCCACCACGGGCTGGCAGCCCCTGTTGTCTCTGAGAGAGGAACCCACAAACACCACATCCGGTCTGGCCCGTGTCTGCCGCAGGGCCACCGAGTCTCCTCTTCGTGTCCTCTGATTCTGTGACCATTCAGTCTAGTGCAATGTTCTTCTGTGTCCTGGCCAGCATTTTGCCAGCTGAAATTGAGATTATTTTTCCCCTCATTCTTGTGCAATAGCAGGATAATCTGCACTCACACATTTATAATCTAAATTCTACTAGTCTATCTATGGTTCTATTAAATATAATATATATATATATATATATTATTCCACAGGAAGGTAAATAATTAATTGAAGCAAATGGAACTCTTAACACTGGATCTCTACATTCTTTTGTTTCCACCTTTGGATATTAAGTATGTTACATGAATATTTGGCTTCATATCATGGAGACACTTCAATATAAATGCACAGCATGCGTGGCTTTGTGTAAGAGCCGCAATTTCACTGTTACCAGTTTTATTTTGCAGTTGAGTTACCTATTTAGAAGTTGAAAATGGTCATCAATTTCCATAGACTTAAATATCTCAGAGGTAAAAGACTTCTTAACTATGGTTCTAAAGTCTACTGGTAGTGTCAGAGTGGGGCCGTGGGGGAGGGGTGCATTTAAGCGGTCTCCAGCAGGGATGAACAGGAAAGGAAAGAAGGTTTACACCAGCGACTGACTCTTAGTACACCTAAAAAATGTGTCCACCTTCATGTCATCCCTGGAGCAAATGGAATAAAGTGGCAAGCATGACAGTAGGCACCGTCCACATCTTTTGACTGCCTGGACATTTCTAACACTAAAAGAAGTCCAAGTGGATGGTATTGCCAGGTACATGAAAAACCATAGCACCAGCACCTTCCGTGTGCACACACACAAAGCCCACACCCCAGAAGCCCAAGAGGAAGCCTTTCCTTTGTAAAGGATAATCCAGCATGCCAGCAGTCTCCAAAGATGTAACCCAGAGACAGCCTTCTTGGGAGCACCAAGAAACCATCAGATGAAGACGATGTCACTACCTCTGACTCGCAGGCTGAGGCCCAGGAAGCTGTGCCGGGCCTCCAGCCGCTGCTCCACTGCCGGACAGTCCCGCTCCATCCCCTTCCCAACCCCCTTCCCCGACCTTACATGGCGTGGTGCCAAGACCAATCAATGTAAGTCATTCTGGCTCCTGTTCTAATTTCTGAAATTCCTAAAATATCTGTGCAGCCCACAAATATGTCCTCTAGATTCTGTTGTTATTCAGCAGCTCGCTGCCAGTGAGGTTTTTGTTTTTATGATTCCTCTGGTATGTAGGACAGCTTCACAGCCCAGATAAAGTAAGTACAATGCTCAATATTTTCACATAACCAATACTTCAGAGCAAGGCATCTGGTTGGGTAAGCAGTGCATTAGCTCTTTCAACTGTGCCATTTATGAGGAACAAAATCCGGAAGCTGCGGATCTGCAAGGGAACGTTCTTTGCACGACTATGTGCTCGACTGTTTCTTTTTCATTTGTTCCACTAGAATCAGTTGCTTCAATTTGTAAACAATAACTTTACCACTGAAAGCTGCTCAAAATGATAAGTTGTGGAAAAATTACAAATACACACCGACAACTAGGACAGTTAGTCAGCCTTTAAAACAAAACAAAAATCAAAGCAAAACAAAAACGAAAGACCTGCAAACAAAAGCAATATTGTTTAATTAAAAAAATAATAAAAGGGACAAGAAGGAATTGGGAGAAAATGGAACTACCTGTATATAAATTAGGTGAGCAAACAGTGATATGGGTAGTTTTAAGAAGCAAATATATACAGTCAATTTAACAGTGTTTACTTCTCTGGTTTGTTTAATAGTGTCAAAATGAAAGATCTACTGAAGATTTACTATACATTGCATTGATTGAACCTTGGAGAGTTTTATGGAGAGAGGGGCAGCCCTTGGCTACGTTCGCCAGTCTCTCTTGCCCCTGCCTTGGAAAAGCCTCCTCCTTTCTTTGTTTTTTGGCCCAGATTGCTTCCCGACTGTCTGAACTCAGCCGGGGTCCTCTAAGTTCTTCCTGGATCTACATGAATCCCTTCTCCAGACCCACATTCCAAGTGAGTGGTCTGGAGGGGCGAGGACATCTGTGTTGGAGGGGAGGCAGGACTGACCAGCCAAGGCTAGAAGTATCCCAGAAAACTCGGCCTTGATGACTGGGACCAGTCACGTCCCCAGATCAGAAGGAATACTGGCTTCCAGCTCTGCAGGCCGCCACCCCGGTAGGACGTGGAGCTCCACCAGCCAGGCTTACAGTTTTGTACTGGGATGTACAGATGACAGCTGGGAAGGCGGAAAGGCAGCTTGAGGGTTTATAGCAGCTAACGGGTAAATGCTATTGTGCAAAAGGTCCCCATACGAGCTTCCTACCGGCGTGGCCGCAGCCAAGTGTCTGTACAGCTGCTGAGAATTTGTCGGGGACGTGAAGATGCCCCTTTGCATCACAAGGGAGTGGAGAGCCAGGGGCTGCACGAGTGGGGAGAGCACAGTCTGGTTCTTCAAGTACTGCAGAGAGTGAGAATACCCAGCCGGGAGCCTGGAGGTGAGGCCCGAGTTACATAAGCTCCCGGAATACAGACCTGGGAAGATCGGGGAGGACAGGGGCAGCTTGTGGCCCTCCGGCCCCCCACCAGAATGCCCACTATAGGTGGCCTTGGTGCCTTCACTCTCCTGCTCAGAGGCCTTCTCCTTGCTGGAAGCCTCCTTAGCCGGGTCCAGAGGAGACACTGCCCGAGCCTTTTTCCCAGCGATCACCAGGTCCGAGTCCTCCAGGCTTCGTTTTATGGGGCGCGCGGCGCCGATGGTTTGCGGGCTCATTTTCCGATGCAGGATAGGGTGGACCATGCCTTCCATCTTTCTGAAATTCTCCAATCTCACGTGGTGAGGCTTCCCCGATCTTGACAGAGGCTCGGGGTACTTCTTAGGACCCGACATGGTCATGGGTGAGACCCGACAGGCTTTGGGGTGACAGTCTCGGCTCTGGCTGCTGATGACCTGGAACTGGGAGATGCCCTTGCTCTCTGGGAGCTCCCTGGGGGCAGAGTGGGCCAGGCCCAGGACTTTACTGGTCAGTTTGTGTGGGTTCTTGGGGAGGCTCAGATCCGTGGGCTGATCGTCTGCAGAGGCCTCTGCTGTGGCCAGCTTTCGGTCTTGCAGGTGAAGAGATGCGAGATAATTTACGTGGAGTTTTTCCTGGTGTTTGTGGGAAGCAAGAGAACTGTTTTCCGACTCCCGGTATGTGTCCCTGGATGCATACTTGGATGGCTGCTCGCTGTGAAGGTGGTGCTCCGTGTGTCGGTAGAGGCTGTGGAGGTGTGGGGACGAGTAGAAATCCGCCAGGAAGCTGGGTGTGTGGGAGTGCGGGAGCGCCCTTTTCGCCAAGAGTTTATCTTTGCCCTCCTGAATTTCTTGCTTCAAGACATAGGAGTCGGCCAGGGAGTTAAGATGGTGCTTGGAGAAGCTGCAGCGGTGGGCGTCCGAACGGCTCAGTTTGTCATGCTTGAAAATGTCGCCAATGCCCTTCCTGTCCTCGGAGGCCTTGGATCTGAAACTCTGGACGTGCTGAATCACGGACGGCCGGCTGACTGCCGCGTGGTCTGTGCTTTGGCCGTGGTGGGCCTGGGACAAGCCAGAGCACAAGTCATCCCGGGCAATCAGTTTCTTTTTGCTGATCAGAGGGGGTGGGGAGCCATAGGGACAGCTGCTGGAGAGGCCAGCCCCACTCACCTGGGACAGAAGCTTCTTCTTGGCCAGAGGGGACATGATGCCCGGGTTGCCCCTGGAATAGAGCAGGGGCGTGTAGTTCAGCCCGTGGTTTTCATTCACAGGCCCCGCCAAGTCTCTGTCTTTGAACATGTCGAATGACTGGACCACAAGGACCTTCGGGGTCTGCTTCAGCGCACTGCGGATGTCGTCACTGCCCAGCTGGTCGACCTTCACGGTGCAGTTGGCGATATAGCCCGCCATCGCAGGCAGCTTGTCCTCCTCCAGCTCGTGCTGGCTTGCCAGTGGTGGCTGCGTGGTGGGGAGGCCAGGAAAGGGCGTGTCTTGGAGGTCATTGGCGGTGCTGTCTGTGAAGCAGGAGGATTTGGGTTCCTGCTTTGGATCCACGGGGGCAGCAGGAGAGGCCAGGGCCGGTTTGCCAGCCCCGGGGCCGGGGGCTGGGTCCCTCTCCGGGGCCAGGGGCAAGCCAGGAGCGGGAGTCACAGGCCCCGTCTCGCCCGCCTCCTCAGCCTCCTTCTCGCTGTTGGCACCCTGGTCAGGCTCGCTGTCCTTCTCGGGGTCTGCTCTGGATGCCAGGGGCCTTGCCCCCATGTCCTGGTGCCCTTCTGCTCTTTTCTTCACATCTGCTGCCACAAGAGGTTCTGCGATGCTCTTCGGGTTTAAAGACTCTTGTTCCTTCTCCGGCTCTGATGAAATCTGATAAAATATTTCAAAGGACGGTCAAAAGAAAACCAAATACACTCATGTGTTTTGCGGGTAGTAAATTATTACACATTCCTTTTTTCCTTGCAAACAGGTCTGCCAATCAGCTCGCTGAGCTCTTGAGAGGCTTTATTCCTCCCCAATCACGAGGTTCTAAACAAAGAAATCTAAATTACAGAAACATTAGGGGAGATATGCATCTGCCCCTTACGAGGCACCTATCAAAACAGCCCAGTGTTATGTGCTTGTGCTCTCCAACCCTATCACTCCTTGATTCTAATATATAGTTTAATTCTTACGTTGTCTTCTTGTCAAATCAGTCAATTACCCAAATGGCTTTTAAATTATATGTTGTGTTTTATGACACTTCTAGCAAAGATTTTTTTCAAGCATCTCTCTTTCAAAAATCCAACCAACTCCATGTCAACAACAAACTATATTCCTTGCTTTTCTTTGAGAAAGTCCCATCCTACTGTGTTCAATACCATGCAGTGAAGATTAGCGATAATTAAATGTTAATCATTTCTACTTAGTGCCACAGAACATGCAGATAATACTCAAATATTGAAAAATTTTGTAGAAGCAGTAGCAGTGTGTCTACAAGGAGACAAGATATTCCAAGTCTTCCTACATTATAGACAACTATATTTCTATTAAAGATAAATATGAATTTTCAAAATTCAGCGGGTAAGAGCCACCAAAAATATGGCCTTTCTATTCACAGAGATAAATCATACTCAGTCTGATGGATCCTTTCCATGTATCCCTCCTCACAGAAGTCATGGGCATAATTCAACCCAATTATTATATTATGTACCCACATAAGTGTTGATCTTACGAGGTCATTTTAACTTTCCACCTGCGCCCCAGCTGAGGGATAAGGCTTTCAAAATTACTGTCATTCTGCCCTGCTGTGTTGTAGTGGGACAGGCACGTAACAGCTGTATTAAGCTAGTGTCCCATCCCCACCCCACGCTCATTTCTACAACTTTGTTCTCTGTTGAGAAGTGAAATAGCAATCACATTGGTATCTTTGAGTAAGACTGATGGTGTTGGCTTGAGGACACCTAGGAACAAGTCTTTGAAGGAATCGCACCCATCTCACCTGCAGCTGCCACTCCTCCAGTCCCCTGGAGGCTATCCCTGCTCCTCAAGGCTGTGTTACACCAAAAGCCCCTGCTTATTCTTCCCATCGCCTTCACTAATAGCTGCCTTTTCCAGTACAAATATCGTTACTTGCTCTACATTAATAATCATTATTGGTCTCTGGAGCTTATATAGAACATGGAAATACAGAAAAATGAATCAAGCAAGAGAAAAGGCAAATTGCATGTAAGTGTTAATTTCTGATGGGGCTGTAGTTTGAAGTGGGGCTGTGGGGAATGCTCCACCCCACTGATATTTCTACAGCCAAGAGTTTTAGCTTCACTGGAGTCTTATGCTTCTGGCTGTAAAATAGGTTTGAGGGGTCCTTGGAAGCTAAGTTGAAAAAGGAAAAGGGCACTTCTCTGAGACAGCATTTTCTGATCAGCTGTAGTACATGAAATGTAAAGGACACCTTCCCAGGGCATGATGTGTCACCTACATGATCTGCCAGCTGAAGGCAGAAGTGCTTTTCGCTCCTCCTAGCTCCGTTAGGCTCAGTGCCTCTTGTTTAAAACATCAAAATTTAAATAATGAAAACTACGACCAATCTAAATCCAACCTCCAGCAGTCAATGAGAAGGGTAAGCCAGGTCTGTGCTGGTGCCACTCTTACTGGGTCCCTCTTGAAGAAGGTGGATGAGTCCTTGTAGGTTAGATAACTTCACAAGTCAACCTCTGAAATGATAGACACTTAACAGCCACTCTTGGAGGGATCACTTGGGTCCTGCAGACACAGGGAGCCTAGCGTTCTCCCGGTTCCTCTGGACTCCGGGGAGAGCACCTCCGCCCTTGGGGAGCGGTCACCTCTCCTGCTGAGGGGCTTAGTTCACAGGCTGAGGGTCCTCCCTCAAATCATGAACCAACCCTTTTAAACTTTGTTCCCTGAATGGAGCCATGCATGGGCCAGCTGGCACCCTGGCCTCAGCTCACCCTCTAGAGTTTGGTTACCACTCTAGACATGCATCCAATAGAACTCACTGGTCCAAACCCTATCAGAAGGCACCAGGCCACAGGATAGAGGAAGAACAGAACGCAAGCCTTAATGTAGAATTTCCCTGCTTTTGGCCATTTAGACTTCAAATTTAAACACGTTTACAGTTCTGTATCTTTGTTTCTCCTCCTTCCTTTTTAAATTAGTAGAGCCAAAAGTAATTATTAAACCTACAAAGAGGACTTTTTGCCTCTTGGTATTAATACTGCCTTCATATAGAAAAGTCAGTTGGGTAAGTTAATATATGGTTAGGAGGATGGGGTGTGTGTGTGTGTGTGTGTGTGTGTGTGTGTGTGTCTGTGTGTGTGTGTGTGTGTTTTAAACTCAGTGTTTAATTGGGGAGTCTCTTATGTGTTCCTTATAAACCTGATTTTTAGAGGGTGTTTAATATCAGCACCAAAATTCCCTCGGGGGTTGAATCCTAGAACATGCTGTCTCCAAATGTGGCTGCTAAGTTGTTTTTTTTTTTTTTTTTTTTTTATGGGCAGCAGGGTTTTTTTATTTTCATGTTGAAACAGAGCCCAGATCAGCCTCCCCAACTGGCTGCGCGGTGACTGTGAAGGTTTCAGCCAGAGCCCTCAGGCTGTGGGGAGGCAGGGCCTGCTTTCAAGGCCCCGAAACTACCTGTTAATACAAGAGACAATGATAGTTTCAGGGGAACCACTTCAAAATTCCCCGATAAATAATATGTGCTTAAGACCTTGCTAATGTGGTCTCGACCCGGGGCTGCCGCAGAGAACCATTAGCGGAAGAAAACACATCTAGGAAGTTTTTAGGAGTTTTTAGGAGAGTCCTGCAGGACGCAGTCTAGTGATGTGGGGGCCTCCTCCCGACATCACACGGACTCCTCAGACAAGTGGGCTGCGAAGGGCCCAGAAGCCGTGTTCTCCAGTGGCAGCCCTTCCTGGAGCCACAGCTCTGGTTCCTGCCCTCGGACACAGAGCATTTGGGAATAGTTTTCTATGGGATAGTCTCATCTTTTCAGATTCTCCTTATGGCCTGCCCTGTCCCATCCGATCCCATCCCATCCATGCACTGCATTTCAGCTCCTGAGCAAAAAAGAAGAGTTGTAAAACTCGTAGAACTACTGAGGGAACCACACATGTGGAGCATCTATCTATCTGTCTGTCTGTCTATCTATCTATCTATCTATCTATCTATCTATCTATCTAAATACTAGATAGACCCTGTCTATCTATCTATCTATCTATCTATCTATGTAAATACCAGATAGACCCTATATACTGTGCTATACCCTCAGTTCCCTTTCTTAATTTTTTTTTTTTTTTTCAGTATCAGGGTTGAACTCAGGATCCAAGTGCTTATTCTACTGAGCTATCTCCCTGGCCCTTTAATTTTTTATTTTAAGTCAGGATCTTGCTAAGTCTCTAAATTACCTAGGCTGGGCTCAAATTGTGATCCTCCTGCCTTAGCCTCCCTGAATACTGGGATTACATACATATGCTACCATGCTCACGTAGTCCTAGAGTTTTTGATTTTTTAGTCTAGCTCTTAAGTATGCAAGGATGCAGCTGTGGAGTCCGTTCCAGAGACCTCCAGGCAGGCCAAGGGCCACAGAGGTGGCTGTCTCCGGGAGCACACAACTCACCTCTGCTGCATCCTGGGGCTTCGGGGTGTTCTCTTTCTCTTTCTTGCTCTTAGGCATTTCATGTTTGATGCGTTTGGCTCCTGATACTTTCGTTTTATTCTCATTCTCCTGTGAACTGTTCTCCTGCTTCCGAGGCTTGACTGGAGGCAAGGGCTTATCTTCCTCTCCCTTAATAAACCTTTCATAAGGTAGGATTAATCTAAAATGAAAGCAGAAGAGATAATAAATCAGCTGAGCTAATCTGGTAGCACGAACACAGTGGTGTTTGTTTTTCTTCTTGGTGCCACAGTCACCCCTTGTCTGTGGAGGATCCGCTCTGAGATCCTCCTGCTGGTGGAGACGCCCGGCCTGTGTACACCATGCTCTTCCCTGTACACACAGATTTATTATCAACTTCAACTGCTACATTAGGCACAGTGAGAGATTAACAACCACAACTGATACTAATGTAGAAAAATTATTAAACTTCATCATGAAAGTTACTAGAATGTGGTTCTCCTCTCGAACAAGCCAAGACAGACGCATTTTAGTTTCAGACTGCGGTTGGCTTTGGGAACCCGAAACACAGAGGGCTACTGTACAAGCCACTCGTTGAGTGACTTGCTCGCTGGGGACATCGATGTATCTAGAAACTTCTTTCACAATGGAGTTATCTCCTTCATCATGGAAAATCACTTATACTTTTCTACAAAAGGTTTCTTTTTAGCCTCTCTGGTCTATGCACTGAGGACGCCAGTGGAAACAAGCAAAGTGGAAAACACCATCTCCACAGCCCGTGGCCTATGGCTGGGTCCCAGCAACAGCACAACCATAGGGCCAGTTGCTACCCAACTGCTGCGCCATTGGCTCCTTCCCCAACACCTGCCCCGTGCCAGGCAGTGCTCCGGGCACTGAGCTACAGCAGCGAACAAGACATTCAAAGCATCTGGCCTCAGGAAGCTCATGTTCTGCAGGGGCCTGGTACAGAGCCAGAGCCAGGAACATTACGCAGGTCATTCCGCAGTCTTTGTGCCACATCCCCATGGAGTATCGTAGAAGAGACACTACAGGCCCCCAAAAGTCGAGCAACGTGCCTAAAGCTCACACCTTTTGTCAGGGCTAGAATTTGAACCTGCTTGCACCTATCTCTGGTTTTTAATTTTTGTTTTTCTAAAGATGTAAACCCAACACTTAAGATCAAAAAGTCACAGGGAGACGAGCTCGGCATGGTCAATGTGGCTGTCTCACTCTGTAATGAGGAGGCTGGTAGTGCCACACGAGGGGGTCCGTTTTGGGGTACGAAGGGACACAGGGCTCCAGCTAGAAGGAATCAGAGCAACCACTCAAGCCACAGAAATCAGAGGGCTGAAAAATTCAAGCATTTTAATTATATAACTTTTTAAACAAAGTGCATAAAATTGCTCTAAAAAGAGAAACATCAAACAGCTCTGGTTTTAATCTGTTTTCCCTCTGAGACACAGCTCTTGATCTGAACGGGAAAAAGAGCTGATGTAATTAAAAGGCATGGATTGCATTACAATCTCAGTTTCAACTTCAGTGATTAAAGTTTTTATAATGCATTTGGTATGATTAATGACTCACTGTGGGATTAATACAAGACTTGGCCTTAAAAATATGAACTTTAATACAGCAAACATAATTTGTTTTAAGTAAGACAAGTTGACTCAATGAAGAAAATGTACTTGGCTTATAAACAATTAAAATCTGTTCAAATATTGGGAATCCTATTATTTTTAAACTAAGACATCTAGGCAGAAAAATTCTGTGATGTGGACATTTATTATTAGCTATCCTGCAATTGGTTTCTAGCTATGTAATTTGGGTCTCAGCTACTTAAACACGCACCACTGTTTAAGTTTGAAAGTAAGGATGCAGGGACATTTGTGATCATAATATTTTATTCTTTAATAGCATACCAAGAAATTGTGGGAAAATCAAATTCCAATTTATATCATATTAAACACAAAATCCATTTACTGAGCATGCTCAGACAAGGTATATTCAAGGAGGCGTGAATAATAGTTTGGAGCCCTACATCTGGCAGTGGGCCAGCCATGGAGATCAACACAGCCCATGGGGAATAGTTATCTTCAGATCCCATTACAAACTGAGTTCAAACATGTTACAGCTGCTAAAACTGGAAACTGCATTCTCTATGTAGACTTACTAAAATAATATAAGGCTGCCAAATACCTGTTTCCTACTGTAATATTACAGTTAATGTTTATATAATAAAAAGCACAACTAAGCAGAAGAGAGAAAAAAGCAATCTTGTTCATACTTGAATTTATTCTGCCTCATCTGTGAAGTCCCTGACACCCCCACTCCTGATTCCTTTTATCTGAGTAATTATGCCGAGACTTCATCCTCTTCAGTATTGGCAGGTTGGGGATTTTTGTCCAGGAGCAAAATGCATTGAAAAATTTTAAACTGGAAAAAATATTTTAAATTGATTTTAATGAAAACATATTTTAGTGTGGGGACAGAGAGGTTTGTTTTACTTGTGTTGTGTTGCCATGGGAACCCAAGGAGCTCGGGAGTCTGGGTACTCCAATGGTTACCATTTGTTAGTGATGCCCTTCCCCCAGCTCCTTTCTTTAATTAAGACAGTGACACCATGAGGGACCCTCTATCCCAAAAAGAGGTACATCAGTACCTCTGAGTATGGGGAGCCGGTAGAGGGGAGGGGCATGTTGGGAAGGAGACTGGTGGGACAGACAGTGGGGTCCAGAGCCCCGCTCCAAGGGTCTTGGGCAGATGTCACTCTGTCGAGGGAGGCTGAAGCAACCTTCATTTCCTCTGACAGTTTTGCAAGTTCAGGAGGCAGGGTAACATGTTCATTTCAGTTCCTTTTCCCCCTCCCTTTGCTTTCATTTAGTTTTTCTCCCTTCCACTCAGCTCAGCTGCTGGCTGACTGACAACAGCAAAAACACATTTCACTTCACTGGTCAAAGGCCTCAAGCCAGAAGCAGGAAATCTGGAATTAAATGTTTCTTGTATCTGGAAAGAGGCATGACTAAGGTAAAACGGGATCCAAACAAGCCCTGCTTGTTCCAGGCTTCCAGAGGCTGTGTGTGTGTGTGTGTGTGTGTGTGTGTGCGCGCGCGCGTGCATGCATGCATGTGTGTGTGTGTGTGTGTAAAGGTCAACCGAATGTTTTTTTCCCCTTCTAAATCATCCAAAGATAATTATAGTGGCTCAGGGAAAAACGGATCCCAAAATAAAACAAGAAAGGCAGCAGTTAAAAGGAAACAAGTAGAAATATGACCAGCCAAGCTCTGAAGAACAGGGCACGGTCTTGAACGGCACACAAACAATCGCTGCTTCATAGAGTGGTTTCCGTTTGGTGCAATTTTCACTGAATGTTTTTTCAGTTATCCTGTCATGGTACAACACAATTACCCACAGGATATGATCTTATCATTTGATTATTAGATGTTTTTTACAGTACAAGAGGACGAAAGCTATTAGAGACTGCTGAACATTTAAACATTCAGCGTACATGTGGTAACATTAAAAAGAGGTTAGTTAATAGGAGGTCAGCCCTGCCCAATGCAGGAAACTGCATCGGCTTGTATTAGATAAAGAATTCAGCATAATGCACTTCGCTGATGATTAGTCCTCAAATATTTGTAGTGCAACAAAGATTTAATCAGTTTCTAAACTGTACAGATGAAAGCAAGAATGTTCCCAGCCCCCAAGAATTCATTACACAGAAGAAATATTTTCAATGGGCTGCAATTCTGAGAATGCTGCCTGGGTTTTAGGTGGGTGGAAGGAATGGGGAAGAGAAGCAACAGAATCATTAGTAAATCCAGAGACACTTCCCCTCCCCGATCTACATCTCGGCTGGGAATTGAAAGCCAGGCAGATAAATAGGTCTTTATCATTATCCAGATTTCGCATTTCAGATTAGCAAAATGCTTATTTACGATGCCATTAATGGATCTGAGATAGGTAGGCCGTCATGTATTAAAAAATAACATCTTTTCATAGGCATAAGCTTTGTAGCAGCACGAGATTTTATTTTTCCCTAGGAATAATACAAGAATAACATTTTCCACCCCAAAGCAGACACAGTAGGGGAGCTTTTGCTATCACGGAGGTTCTTATTAAATTCAGTCACTGTGAAAAGCAAGTTTTTTCTCTCCTCATTCTTCTTCTTTTTTTAAATAAAGAAGATTTAAAATCTACCCAAGTTAAAATTAACAAATCAATGGCATTATAACCTTGATTTATTAGTGTCTGAGCTAGTAAATTGTCATCATATACAAAATTGTTGGTTTGAAAAGATTTCAGCTTTGCTAAATCTCAAGTTAAATAATGGTGCTCGGTGTACTAGGTTTTCAGATCTGCCTCATCTGATATTATAAAAAATTCAATACATTTCTCCACAGCAGAAGTCAGGGGTCAGCAAATCTATTACTGTAATGTAAGTAAGCTGGCAACCTGCCAAGTCTTTCTCCCTTTTATTATTTTTTTAAACACTGAGGCAGATAATTTTATATTTACAGAGTCTAAAATCCTCCAGGGCCTTGCTTCTCTTTCTCAACAAAAAGCAGCAGTTGGACATTAGAAAATGCATGTTGCACACGTCCTCGTCACTTGCATTTCATACAAAAAACCCTTCATCTTTATTAGGCAACATGCCCCCTCCCCAGAAGCAGAGAAAAAATAATGTCAATGTTCATCTGGACAAGTAACCAGTAATGTCTGCTGTATTGATTAATGCTCCCACGTAATGGCTGAACATTTGGGCCAAAACATTTAGCAAACAGTGCTTAAGAGGAGAAATGAGAATCCATCTATTTATAGAACTCTGAAAAATGATATTATAATAATGTCTGGAACTGATTCAATTCACAGAGTCAGGGAAAGAAATGGGAAATCTTTAGGGTTGTATTTGAATCTCAAACTCACCCCAGTTACTTTATAGACTTTCATGGTATTAAACCAGTGAAAAGTTCCAGGCCTGAATATTTGCTGGTATCCTTGGAGCAGAATATTTTAGGGGAAGAGGGAAATAAAGTCGGTGGGCATGTCAGGTCAAAATGCTCCTATGGTACTATTCTTAGACTATTAGGTGTTTTCCTAGCTGTAGAAAAGAAATGACATAGTGGATCCACTGGGGCTTCAGACCTGATCTAATCCCAAATGGACTCATTACACTACTAGGTTGATTCGAAGGTTGATAAATTC